GGATATTGATTTGATACTTGATGCCGGGGACATAGAGAGAGGAGGCGAAGGGGCACTATCATCAGCACTGCTGGTTGGTAACAGGGTTAGAGTGGTTTCTGGTGTCTAGGATAAGGAACTTAAACTAGTTGGCGTTTCCTGCCTATATCCAAATGCTAGTCCTCATATTTTCCATTTCCGTGGCCATGGGTAGTAAACCCCTCTAGAGTTCACTTTCTTCATCTAAAGAGTGGGGCTAAATGTCGTACCTACCTCATTAGGGTTGTTATAGTACATTAAGATCTCAGTAAAGGCAGGCTGTCACCAAAACCAGGCAGGGCTTATCACAGAAAGGCAAGATTTATTTCTTGCTTCAATTTATTTCTCATCCTTCCCCAAGCAACACTAACCAAAACTACTGTTTAACCATAGTACTGATTTCTTAAATGATCTTATTTATTGTTTATTTTTCCAGCTACAACAGCAGCTCAATAAAAGCAGGGACAATTTGTCTGAGTTACTGTTCTTTCCCCAGTGCCTGGCACCTACCTAGCAGGGGCTTTTTTTTTTTTTTACAATTTTTTTATTAAGGTATTATAGACACACACTCTTATAAAGGTTTCACATGAAAAACAATGTGGTTACTACATTCACGCATATTATCGAGTCCCCCCACCAAACCCCATTGCAGTCACTGTCCATCAGTGTAGTAAGATGCCACAGATTCACTATTTGCCTTCTCTGTGCTACACTGTTTTCCCCGTGATCCCCCACACCATGTGTACTAAACATAATACCCCTCAATCCCCTTCTCCCTCCCTCCCCACCCGCCCTCCCTCACCCCTCCCCTTTGGTAACCACTAGTCCCTTCTTGGAGTCTCTGAGTCTGCTGCTATTTTGTTCCTTCAGTTTTGCTTCGTTGTTATACTCCACAAATGAGGGAAATCATTTGGCACTTGTCTTTCTCTGCCTGGCTTATTTCACTGAGCATAATATCCTCCAGCTCCATCCATATTGTTGCAAATGGAAGGATTTGTTTGTTTCTTATGGCTGAAGAGTATTCCATTGTGTATATGTACCACATCTTCATTCATCTACTGATGGACACTTAGGTTGCTTCCGTTATCTTCACTATTGTAAATAGTGCTGCAATAAGCATAGGGGTGCACATGTCTTTTTGAATCTGAGAACTTAAATTCTTTGGGTAAATTACTAGGAGTGGAATTCCCGGTTCAAATGGTATTTCTATTTTTAGTTTTTTGAGAAACCTCCATATTGCTGTCCACAACTGTTGAACTAGTTTACATTCCAATCACAATATCGACTCAAGTGGTGGCAGAAACAGGCAGTGACTATGTCCTTTCTGGACTTCTCCTTCCTTCATGTGTCTCCTGTCTATTTAGCCCCCAGAGTCTAGAAGTGCAAAGGCGAGCTCTGGACCACACTGGTGGTGCCCGCCTTTCCTTACTAACACAGGCTGAAATGAAACCTGAAGTTGGGGCCCATCCTCAGGAACTAAAAGGAGCATGATTTGAGGGAAAGCCTGCATGGCTTGGGGTGACAAGAATATGCTGAGAATCAAGGCCAGAGAGCAAAAGAAGAGACATGGAGTAGAGTTGTAACTAGAGTGTAGACATGGAGTCTTTATTCACTTACCTCATCCCTGAAATTTCTTCCTAAATGGAACAAGAGGGGGAGGTTGCAACATAAAGGCATCACTTGAATAGTGCCATTTTCTGATGAGAAAACATTTGCCTCTGAAGCCAAAGTTCTCACAATCCCCAAAGTCTTAATGGTGATAACTCTCCATGGCTGGAGTCAGAAAACAAGATTGTTGCAATTGGGAAAAGCTTCACAGACCACATGAGCAGCCCCCAGCAAGCTGAAACAGTGAGCCAGCCTTCCAACAAATATTTTATCAAGCCCTTGCTACACGAAAAGAAGCTCCACATCACTAATTACCAGGGAAATGCAAATTAAAACCACAATGAGATATCAAGTCATACCAGTTAGGATAGCCAGCATCAAAAAGACTAAGAACAACAAATGCTGGCAAGGATGCGGAGAAAAGGGAACCCTCCACTCCATGTCTCTTCTTTTGCTCTCTGGCCTTGATTCTCGGCATATCCTTGTCACCCCAAGCCATGCAGGCTTTCCCTCAAATCATGCTCCTTTTAGTTCCTGAGGATGGGCCCCAACTTCAGGTTTCATTTCAGCCTGTGTTAGTAAGGAAAGGCGGGCACCACCAGTGTGGTCCAGAGCTTGCCTTTGCACTTCTAGACTCTGGGGGCTAAACAGACAGGAGACACATGAAGGAAGGAGAAGTCCAGAAAGGACATAGTCACTGCCTGTTTCTGCCACCACTTGAGTCGATATTGTGATGAGCTGTTAACTTCAAACAGCTCTCTGACTAAGCTGTCTTTTCTATCCAAATCTGTTTTTGTTCATTCACTGGGCTAGGACCCTCAACCTTCACTCTGATAGTAAAATAGCCCCAGATCCTGTTGGAGTGAGTGGAACTTGTGGTCCCCCCCCATAGGCTTGAGCTTCTTTTCTAAATGTCATGATTGCCATCAATGTCACTCACAACCTCTGACTTGCCTGCTGTTCATGCGGATAAACTCTGCCCCTTTTCTTTCCAAACTCCCAACAAACTGAAAGTGATTCTGTCACCAGCTTGTTCAAAACCCATTTTTAATCCAATGAGAGTGTCAATGTTTAAAAACAAAAATTGAAAACATGCAGAGCACACAACAAATGCGAGAGGTGGCTGTGGTCATTCTAATTCACATTTCTACCTCTGGCAGATGGATCTATGACTGGGAAAAGATGTTAAAACAACACATAGTAGTCAGCATTTAGTGGATATTTTCTCTGTTCCAGATGCTAGTCTAAGCTTCACAAGTATTAACTCATTTAGTCCTCACAATAGCACTGAGGCACTTTTTCAGATGAGGAAACTGAGTCACAAAGGGGTTAACCGACTTTCCCAAGACATAGCTCCTAGCTGGCAGAGCCTGTAGCGGTGGCCAAGTTCTGCTGCCTTTTGGGAATAATGGCAAACATTCATGCAACAGGTGTTGTGAACACTTTCTATGCATTAGTAACTAATGCAGACTTAACCCCATCTTTAGGTTGTTTTATCTGGTATTTATAGCTTTATAGGAATGAGGTTTTAAAAACAATTTTTGAAAAAACATGAATATTGTCAATAAAGCAACAAAATAATCAATTCTGGCAATGAGACAGTAAATCTCCCTGGCATTCCTCAATCTCCTGTGATTTCTTCCCACCATGGTTCTTTGGAAGCTGAGTGGTGGGATGAGAAAGGATGGATCTCTGTCCAGGGTGGTCAAGGTGAATGGGAAAGGCATTGATAATAGCATCCATTATGGCAAAAAAAGAACTTGGAAATAAACCCAATGTTGGTCACAAGTAGGGAAAGAGTTCAATAAAATGTCACCCTTGAATTCCGTGGACTTCAGCTTCATCTGTAAAATGGGGATACTAATGGGACCCACAACATTTACTTATTAGGATTAAATGGGTTAACACATGCAAATCATCTCAAACAGTGCCCAGCACATTATCCAATAAATGTTACTGGTTACATGTTTGTGCAGTGAAATAGTTTATTCTTTATCAGTCATCAAACAGAAGGGTATTTAATATCCTGAAAAGACACCTATAGCTTAGATGGACAAGGTGATGCAGAGTCAATACAAAACAGTGTGGTTTGTTTGTCTTAGAACACAAAGCAATATGTTCATGAATATGTTACAGGTTGAGTTTACTGTCCTCAGATCTTGTGCTTGCTGCAACAAAGAACTGAAAGCCAGAGATGCAGTAGCAAAGCAGAATGGAAGTTTTATTTGAACACACTCCAAGGGAGGAGAGGGCCAGAGTCAAGGGAGACAAAGGCAGCCTGTTCACTGTGAGGCTTCTTTTTATGGGATTTTTGGCAGGACAGTGAAGTCTTTGACTGACAATCTTTGGCTTTGGAGGCCTGGTCTAATTGGTGAAATAGAGACATAGGCTGCACTCTGATGATTTCTATGCATGTCTTCTGATATGTTCTTTATCTGGGCTGTGTGGACATTCCAAGTAACTCCTGGTCCTTGAAATTTCAACTCAGTAACTCTGTGAGTCGTTTCTGGCTCTCTGGTTTTATCTGGTTAACTCTTTGAGTCCCTTTTAGTGGACTCCACTGGCCTTATTCTCCGTCCACATGCATACGTCTACCTTTCTGCCTAACAGATGTGTCTCCTTGTTTCAGGTGGCTTTAAAACATTGTTCAGAGTATTGTATTCATTATAAAAAGTGTGAAAAATAATTTTGAGAATTATGTCAGTTGATGTTAAGATCTAATAGGAAGCTATTAAATCTTGTATTTCAATGTTGTAAATTCTGTTTATCCTCCTCACGTTAAGATGAATAGACATGCAGCTTCCTGTTGGGAGTTGAAATAAGGATGGTGAGGATAGCCTACTGGGATCCAAACCGCAAAGCTTGTACCTAATTATGACCTCTGCCTTTACACTCACACCCAGATCAAGCTCCCTGGGAGCATCCAAGCCCAAACGCCGCTTCCCCCCAGCCTCCCTCCTATAGAACGGACTTTCTCATCACGGGGGTGTCCAGAGGTGTATGAGTCAGTCTTAAGAAACTGGAAAACTTTTTATTCTGTGCTTCAAATCTTGCTAGGCCAAAATTGTGCTGCTAAAAAGCAGCTTATACCACTTTTTCAAAATACAGTCATGTTTCCTTTAAGGTCGGATTTCTGGTTTTTAGGGAGTGATTTACATACTCGCTCCTGTCCCTGTGTTCCCTGGATATTATTTTTGTGCATACAAGAAGTCCCCATCAGAGACTGAAGGTAGGGTGCGCGGGTGTGGGGTATGGAATAGAATTTAAGAGGCGGAGCCTGTGCCGGAAGCTACTGGGCCTTGGTGCGCCTGCGTGGTTCTCCCACGCCCTGACGATTCCTATCGACTCACTCTTCGCTCAGCAGCTTTTCCTGGTAGTAGGCGGCCATCTTTCCTGGATCCCGAGAGGGAGAAGAGGGACAGAAGGGGAGACGCTGGTCTTAGGGACGCCCCGGGGACCTTAAGAGCCGGAGGCAGCCCCGGAGGTGGTGGTCCCTGATCCCGGGCTCTACTCTAGGACCCGAGAAGGGAAGGCGTGGGGCAGAGGTGGCAAGATGGGTGGGGAATGCCAAAGATTCGTAGGGGGGGGCAGTGGCGTTGCTGTGGCGATCGGGGGCGGGGTCAGATCTGATCTCTGTTGTGAGTTTGCAGGGCGCTGCCCGAGAAGGGCTAGGCTGGGGTGATGACCATGCTAACAGCCGGGTGGCATTTCGCAACATCCTGGCGTGGAGGGATTCGGTGTCTATGGCAGCGATCGCCTGGCGCAAGGGGCGGAACTAGATCCCTTCACTTGAGACGCTGACATTCCAGCCCTTGTCCTGCAGGCTCCCGCGGGCTGACACGCCGGAAGAGGAGGACGAGGAATGGCCGCGGTGTGGCAGCAGGTCTTAGCAGTAGATGCGAGGTGAGGCGTGGGGTCGGATCCCGTGGGGGCGGAGCCCATGGGAGCGGAAGTTATTTTGGCGCATGCGCAATGGCGATAAGTGAGGCTAGGCGGAAAATTTGTCCTTTGCGGCTTCGTGGGTAAGCCGGAGGTGAGCATGCGCGATAGTAAGGTTGGGGCTTTCCCTCAGTGACAGGGGTTGGCGGAGGGTCGTAAGAGCATTCTTGGAAAATGCAGTCAAATATGAGCAATCGCATAGAGACTGTGTTACTAAATGGGGTGACGGAGCCCAGGCTGGTGCCAGACATCCTGTTCCCCACTATTGACCCCCAGACTTCTCTGTCACCACCACTTCCCTAGCCTGACCCCATCACCATCCCATACTGACCCCCACTATTGCCCCACCGTAACCCTCATCACCATGTCAGACTGACCTCTACTGTTGTCTACACTGACTTGGTCACCTCATTCCAATTCCAGCAAAGATGCAGACTGCCTCCGTTGTCCCCACACTGACATCATCGCCATGGCCATAACTGTAGACTGACCCTCATCACAGCACCAGAGGGACTCCCATCATCACTGCTGATCACTTGCCATCCTCACCCTTCACTGCCATATACCTCATTCTCCTTCCCTATCCCCCGAGCTGATTGATTCCCTCTGTCCTGTGCCTGCTGCCCACCTTGCCTCCTACCATCACAGGTACAACGCATACCGCACACCAACGTTTCCACAGTTTCGGACACAGTATATCCGACGGCGCAGCCAGCTACTGCGGGAGAATGCCAAGGCTGGACACCCTCCAGCACTGCGTCGGCAGTACTTGAGGCTGCGTGGGCAGCTGTTGGGCCAGCGCTACGGACCCCTCTCTGAGCCAGGCAGCGCTCGCGCGTATAGTAACAGCATAATCCGCAGCAGCCGAACTACCCTTGACCGCATGGAAGTGAGCTCCTCCCCATGCCACCTGCCACACATACCACCTGCCTCCTTAGACATTCACTCAACAGACTTGTCAAGCTATGTGTGAGGCACTGTTCCAGGCTCTTAGGATGAGCAGAGACCAAAAAAAGATAATATATGAGATAAGTCAATGCAGAGACAAAAAACAAGATAAACAGGTTGATAAACTGGCAATAAAGGAGCTAAACACAGCAAACCAGGTAAACAAGTCAGTAATTGTCATGGCTTGTATTGAGGAATGCTAAGAAAGAAAAATAAAGCAGACTTGGGGGATAAAATAGGACGGGTATGGGGGACAGAGGGAAGCTATTTTTGATAGGGATGGTCAGGGAAGGTGCCTCTCAGAGGAGATGACAGTTGAGACTTGAATGAAGCCCAGTGGTTTTCTGGGGAAACAGTGCTCATTCTTTGTCCAGAGAACATTTATTGAGTAATGAGCTGGGCAAGGGTGGGAGTGGGGAAACTAGTACAGAGGCCACCACAGTGGTCCAGGCAGTGGTGGCAGTGGACAGGGTGAGAATAGATCTACTTCTGGGTATATTTTAAAGACTCCAGACCTTACAGGTTCGTGAGGGCTGTTCTCAAGATGGTGTCCACCCTGACTCTCTCTGTTTGCAGGACTTCGAGGATGATCCTCGGGCCCTAGGGGCCCGTGGGCACCGCCGTTCTGTCAGCCGAGGCTCCTACCAGCTGCAGGCACAGATGAACCGTGCTGTCTATGAGGACAGGTACACATCAGGGGCAGCTGAGGGCTGGGCTTTGTGAGGGGCCACAGAGCAACAGCAGAATGAACTCTAGCACTTGTCTCCTGTTACCCCTCAACTCCCACTGGGCTCAGGCCACCTGGCAGTGTGGTGCCCACATCAGTGGCAGAAGCAAGTCGAGCCATGGCTGGGGACACATCACTGAGTGAAAACTATGCCTTTGCGGGCATGTACCATGTTTTTGACCAGCATGTAGATGAGGCAGGTGAGTCAGTGGATGGTAAATCTCATCACAACACATTTATTCAAATTGTGACTACCACCGAGTGCATGCTTTTCTGGAACACAGAGTCTCTGGCCCATCTTTAAAGGAATTGCCATACATAAAACCTTCCGCAAACCTAAAAGTTAGTGATCTGCAAAATCTCAGGTGCTTTGTCTACCATAAAGAATCCCTTGCAGAAGGCTTCTGGGGTCATGAGTCACTTGGAAGAGTTCAAAGCCTTTGCTGCAGAGAAATCCCCTCACAAAGGGCAGCATGGTTTTCACACACTGCCCAGACCTTGGTAACTGTAAAGTTCTTGCTGAGATGTAGGAGCCTTTTCATGTTGAGAAGCCTTTTGCAATCCACAAAGTACCTGCTAAGGTTCAGGGGACCTTATGGCAGAGGGCCTTCTAGGTTCCAACTCCCTTTCTCAGCTGAGGAAAGCCCTTTGCTGAGGCCACCGTGCCTGGTGCAGTGGGACCTGGCTGCTGGCCCACAGATCACAGGTTTTCACAAACGAAAGCACCCAGTGAGTGTGTTAACTCTCACAAATGGCTCCCTCGCATTGCAGTTCCAAGGGTGTGCTTTGCCAATGATGACCGCCACCGCCTGGCCTGCTGCTCACTTGATGGCAGCATCTCTCTGTGCCAGCTGGTGCCTGCCCCACCCACTGTGCTCCATGTGCTGCGAGGACACACCCGTGGTGTCTCGGATTTCGCCTGGTCTCTCTCCAATGACATCCTTGTGTCCACCTCACTCGATGCTACCATGCGCATCTGGGCCTCTGAGGATGGCCTCTGCATCCGGGAGATCCCGGACCCTGATGGCGCTGAATTGCTCTGCTGTACCTTCCAGCCGGTCAACAACAACCTCACTGTGGTCAGGTTCTAGGACCCCTGCTTGTTGAGGGTGGGGATGCCAGCCCAGGAGGGCTGTCCCAGGAAATCAGTATGGTGGCGGGTTCCTGTAGTCCACCCCACAGTCCTCCTGTGGTCAGACTCAGAGGGAAAGAGGTCAGAATGGGGATGCAGTTCTTGGTCTGGAATGGCTTCGCTGAGGTTCACTCCAAGGGGCACCAGTCAGGGCCTGGCACCCCTTCAGTCCTATCAGCTGCAGGGGCTGCTGGTTGCAGAGCAGGTAACCCTCATCTCATCTCAGTGGCAGTGACTGTGGTCCAACCCCATGATGGAAATTCAGAGGGCAGGGGCAGGAAATGAAAAGTCTGGCCTGGTCCTGAGCAGGGAGTAGAAGCAGGCTGGCCTAATAAGCTTGTGCTCTGGGGCCCTTTCTGTTGCAGCAGCTACAGCAGCCGCTGTGCAGTCAAAGCTCCAGGAAGGACCAGTCAGGGAGCAGACGAGTTATTACGGGCCTGAGATGGCCCTGTGGTTTGCCCACTACAAGGGTTGCTGGCCAAGGGGCAGCATTATGGGTCTGGGGAGCAGCTGTCTACTCTGGTCAAATTGCAAGAGGGGCTGGCTTGGGAGGGTTAAAGGCCTGGGTCACCTTCTAGTCTACCTGCCACAGCCCCACTGTGATTAGACTCCAGTAGGGACCAGCTAGTCCCATCCACAGCAGCCCCACTGTAGTCAGACTCCAGGAGGGACTGACTGGGAGCAGGATGATGGTGTTTGGGTCTCACCTACAGGTGGGGAATGCCAAGCACAACGTGCATGTCATGAACATCTCCACGGGGAAGAAAGTGAAAGGTGGCTCCAGCAAGCTGACAGGCCGTGTCCTCTCTCTGTCTTTTGATGCCCCTGGGCGGCTGCTCTGGGCGGGTGATGACCATGGCAGTGTTTTCTCCTTCCTGTTTGACATGGCCACAGGTAGGCAGGTCCCAGGCCTGCGTCTCGGTGCTCGCACTCCCACCCTCCCAGTGCATCACCCTCACCCTTCCTTCTGCCTCCCTCTGTTGTCGCAGGGAAGCTGACAAAAGCCAAGCGTCTGGTGGTACATGAGGGTAGCCCTGTGACCAGCATCTCCGCCCGCTCCTGGGTCAGCCGCGAGGCCCGGGACCCCTCACTGCTTATCAATGCTTGCCTCAATAAGCTGCTGCTCTACAGGTGGGTATCCCCTTTCCAGGTTGCCTGGAGATGGGTGGCTTGCCATCACCATCAGACTGGAACAGGAGCACTGTCCCCCATCAGATGAAGACGCATAGGGCCTGAGAGCCTGTCTCCTCCATCAGGCTTATCTCACTGAGTGGGGAGTCCAGTCTCCTGATGATGATGATGATGATGATACCAGTAGCAGCAGTAATAGCAGTAGCAGTGGCTGGCACTTACACAGCAGTTGCTGGGCCAGGCCCTCTTTGCAGCACCGTACACCTGTCACCTCAATTACTCCTCACAGAAACACTGTGAGGTGGGTGCTCTTATCATGTCCGTTTTACAGATGAGCAAACTGAGGCATAAAACAGGCTAGGGCAGAGCAGTGGCCTGTTTTCCTTCCTTTCTTTTTTGGTGTGGATTCCTCTCCCCACTCACATATGACGTTACCAGATGTGGTTCTCAGCCTGGGCTGCATGCTGGAATGACCTAAAGAGCTTCAAAACATCATGGCCAGGCCTCACTCCAGGCCAGTGATTTTAGCTCTGGGGTGGGGCTAGGTACTAGTATATCGGAAATGATACTAAGTGATGTCCAGCTAGGCCTGAAAACCACTGCCCAACAGCATTCTTTCTACTCCACTATTTTGTCTTCTCCTTTAAAAAAATGTACACACACACACACACGCAGCACTCACACATACACATACGACTTTTAATTTAAGGAAATTCCCAAGAGTTTTGCCTATTCTTGCCATCCTCTCCCTGCCCTCCTCCCTCCTGCCACCTCGGCCTGCCCCCTGCCCCAGTAAAGCATGCTAACAATTCTGTATGTACCTTTCTCTGTTTGGTTCTCTCTGCTGTAGTCCTAGGCCTGTACACACCCCCACAGATTTTGAGGGTGGGTCCTTAATTTACAGAAGTGACCTCCTCCATCCTTTTCCACAGCTCACTTTTCCCACCAGACAATGGCTGTAGAAGTATCCCCAGGTCACCTGCAATTGCTTCAGTTTGTTCTGTTGAGTGGCCATGTGGTGCTCCACGGCACAGGGCTGCATAGTTTGGCCAGCCATCGCCTTTCTTTGGGCGGGTCTTCACACCAGACTCTCTCAGAGCCCCTTAGAAAGAGAAACTAGGGAATTAAACTATAGAGGCTCACCATTTATCCAACAGCTACAGTGTCCGAGCTGTCACTAACTCAGGGGCCAGTGCATGCTTTACAGGTTTATGCAGTCATCTCCAAACTGGATTTCATGCCCTTGGAAAGAACTCAGGCACAGGAGTGGGGACACAGACTGGGCCCCCACTCATCCCTGTTTGGAACTGAGGCTGTGCCTCAACCTGCTCTCATCCTCCTCTCAGGGTGGTAGACAACGAGGGCACCCTGCAGCTGAAGAGAAGCTTCCCCATTGAACAGAGCTCCCACCCTGTGCGCAGTATCTTCTGCCCCCTCATGTCCTTCCGCCAGGGGGCCTGTGTGGGTGAGTTCCATAGGGTCAGGGTGTCTGGGTGGCTGGGGAGGGGCAAGGCCCAGGGCTGGTGCTGATCTGGCTCAGATGTATGACACCCTGGTGCCCTAAATTCCTGGGCCTTGAGAACGCTCACATCTCAGCAGCCTCCCACTCTGACCACAGACCCCCAAATGGCCCAGAAACCTCCCAGCCTGAGACACAGAGCCTCCCAGATTGCTCAGACACCTCACACTCTGGACACACAACCAAAACAGCTAGGTGACCTCCCGTCTAGGATGGTCCTCCCCAACCGCCCCCACCACCCAAACCACACTGGGACCTCACACCTTGGATGTAAATCCCTCACCACCTCAGACGCCTCAGAGACTTCACACCCACAGCACCCCCCTGCCTCCCGTGTCACCGCCTGATGGCCTTTCTATCTCATCTGGGCAGTGACAGGCAGTGAAGACATGTGTGTGCACTTTTTTGACGTGGAACGGGCAGCCAAGGCTGCTGTCAACAAGCTGCAGGGCCACAGCGCACCTGTGCTGGACGTCAGCTTCAACTGTGATGAGAGCCTGCTGGCTTCCAGTGACGCCAGTGGCATGGTCATTGTCTGGAGGCGGGAGCAGAAGTAGGAACCTTCAGGCCCTACCACTGTCTACCTTCCCACCCAGCTCCCACTCCAGCCTTGTGTTTATAAATAAAGTTCCTGTGGTTGTGCTGCTGGGGGTGGGAGGGAGGCTCTAGGACCCAAGATAGAGGGGTTCCCATATTCATTCATGTGCTGACTTACTCATTCAACAACCACTTACCAAATATCTATAGTATCATAGGCACCACTTCAAGTATTTTACATGGTCATGCATTGGACAGAAATTATTAAGCACCTACTATATGCCAGGAACTGTTTTAGGCCTTGGGGGTACAGCTGTGACATAGACTGATAAAAATCCCTGCCCTCATGGGGCTTGCATTCGAGTGGAGGCAGATAGATAGTAGACAAAAACGTGTAATAAATTTAAGTCAGTTCAAGATGAATGACGGGAGGAAGAATAAGGCAAAGACAGGAGGTAAGTTGCAGGAGTGGGAGTTGGGCTCTTGTGGGTGCTGTGATCAGGGAGGACGTTCTTGCTGGTGTAATTTAAACAAATACCTGAATAAAATGAGAGGCAGCACCATAGTGTCGGGGGGAGAATAACATGCTAGGCAGAGAGAAATGGCAGTGCAAATGTGCTGAGGCTGGAGTGTGCCAGAAGGGTCACTGTACAGGCCAGTGTGGCTAGACCAGAATGTGGTAGGAGAAGAGGTTGGACATGCCCAATCCTGGAGGGCTTCATGGACATGGAGAGGACTTGGTTACTCTGAGTGAGGGGTGCATCACCAGAGAGTTTTGAGCAGAGGAGGGTGTGGTCCAACTTGGTTGTAAGAGGATCCCTGTGGGCACTGTGAGAACAGACTGGGGGGCAAGGGGGAAGTGGGGGACCAGTCAAGAGCCCCTGCAGCAGTGGGACTGAGCAGTGATGGGAACTTGGGCCAGAGTGGTGGCAGTGGAGGAGTTGAGGGGGAAATGTTGGCTTCCAGCACAGGGGTTTCATCCCATTAGTCCGCAGGGCCCTGCTGACTCCTCAGGGAAGCTCAGGCTCCCAGGCTGCCCCTGGCACCAGGGTTCCCCACAAGTAGGGAGTGGAGGTGTTAGGGGCGTGCAGAGCCAAGCTGGTACAGGTACAACTGTGGACCCTAAGGCTGAGCTCACAGCTCCTAAGGGGTGGTGGGGGTAGAGAGAATGGGGATTCTCTCTCCAACCACAGACCACCCTTAGCTCCTTCCACACCCACCCAGGGCCCCTATTCAAAGCCTAGAATGACTCAGAAATCACAAAGCGATGTTCAACATTTGAGGGGAGCTTCAAATGTGGAGAGAAAGCTTGGGCTAGACAGATGAATAACCAAACTGCCCCATCAGTGACCTGCATCCCCAAGAAATTATCAGAGTTGCCAGAAATGTCAAAGAGGCTATTTCTCCAACTCCTCCCTTCCGTCCAGCTCCATAGGCTGCCACAACCAGATGCATCAGTGGGAAGTGTGACTAGCATCTAGAGATATGTGCTCAGTGCACAGAGTCACAGACTAAGCTGGCCTAGCGGTGTGGAGCTGCTGACTAAACACCGGCAGCCTTGTTGGGGGAGAAAAATAACCTGTTTGTTCAAGCCACACTACCTGACAGTGTGGTTGCTTGTAGCCAGAAGCATTTCTGCCTGCTACTTCCCTCTGACAGCCCTTAAGGTACATGGTGAAGCAATAGGGACCTCAGAGAGCTGGCCTGCTCTTGATCCAGATCACGTATCTCTGTCGGAGGTCCCTAAGAGCACCCAGACTCCATGGTCTGCTAGGACTCTCAGTCTAGCATATGGTTGTATATACGGCTATGATTTATGGCAGCAAAAAGATATAGAGCATAATCAGCAAAGGGAAATGGTGCATGGGCCAAGGCTAGCAGAGACAGGCACAAGCTTCCAAGGGTCCGGTCCCAGTGGAATCACACAGGACACACTTAATTCCCCCAGCCATGGGTTGTGACAACACGTGCCAAACATTGTCAACCAGAAAAGCTCATTAGAGACTCAGTTCCCAGGTTTTTACGGGGGGCTGATCACATGGGCACCCTCTGCCTGGCACACACCCACCTTCCAGACTCTCAGAAGTAAAGAAGTGTTTAGCATAAACCACAGTGCTTATGTGAACAGTTTAAGCACATGAGCCCCTCTTAGCATCTGTAGGGGCTGGTAACCCTTACATATAAATTTCCAGATGCCAGCCAGGGGCCAGATTTGAAATAAACCTTTCCTCAGAGATCAGTTCAGGCTGCTGTGAGACTTTCCCGCATGTTATGTTTCAGTGACGGGCAAGATCACTTGGGGGGCCTCACTTTTCACGAACATGTTCTTCATTTCTTTAGCCTCTTTATTCACACTCTTTTTATTGAGCCTGGATACAAGATGGCTGGTCATGGATGTTGTCACACATGAGTGTGGGAGTTTGCTCCTTGTGAAATTTTGAGGTGGCCCTCTAGTAGAATGAGTTGACATTCTACTTTAAATTCATCTTTATAGTACCTTTTCTTCACTTACAATCTAACAGGAAATAGTGAGCAAATAATAAAAAATATCTTATTGGTGAAACTTGGGCCTCTGTTAATTTGTCTATCATACTGTGCCTTTGGTTTGACATCAGATCTGGAACTTTTAAACATTCCGCCATCAATACTACTGTAGTCTTGCCTCAAGTCCAGGCCTCCGTTAACTGCCCCATGCCCTTTGTCTGACTTCAAATTTGTGAGTTTAACTACTTCATCAGGAGCCTCTCTGGTCTGAGCTTGAAGCTGGGCCTTTGTTAATTATTGCCCATCAGTGTACTACTGGTCAAATCTCATTCAAAACATGGCCTCTGTATAATATTCCACCAGCTATTGTCTTCCAGTCTAATACTGCTTCCACCCCATCAAAACCCCTGGTTTAACTTTGAACCTACGTCTTTTCAACTCCTCCACTATCAGTGTCACAGTGGTCTAAACTCCAACCTGGGACTCTATAAGTCCACTGTCAATCACTCTTAGATCTTGAATCCAGGCCTCAGCTAACTCATCAATGCTCCTCAAATCTGAAACTTGAACTTGAGCCTCTATTAACTTTTCCACACTCAGTGCTCCTCTGGCCTGACCTCAATGAACTATTCCACTGCCATGCCCCTATGATCTTATCTTGAGCCCTGGCCTCTATTTACTGTCCCTCTGTAACTGCCCCTCTGATCTGATATTGAACCTAGGACACTGGTAACACTCAAAGCATCAGTCCCCTCTGGGCAGACCTTAGATCTGTGTGCCTGTAAACTATTCCATTATCACTCCATTCTGGTCAACTTGAACATGAGCTTCTACAAGCTATTCCACCATCATTACTCCTCTGATCTTATTTGGAACTGAAATTTGCTGACTATTCTTCAGTCCAACTTTGAATCTGGGCCTCTAAGTCAGTATCTCACCATTCCTGGCTTTGTGCTCTAGCTGGTCCATTTTGAACTCCAGAACCATCAAGGCATCTCTGGTGTGACCTCAAATCCAGGCTCTGTTAACTTTTACTCCATCAAGACCCCCTTTATCTGAATTCTCACATGGGCAAATTCTTAACTAATCTGACATGACAGGCTCCTTATCCAACCAAACCCCTGAGCTTTTGTTAGCTTTCCACCACTGGCACCCCTCTGCTCTGACCATGAGTGGACACTTCTGTTACTATTCCAACATTGAGGTCCTCTGATTCAATTTTTAACTATTCCAAGACCCCCTCTCTCTGGCCTAACTGCCTCTATTAAACAATTAAGTGCCCTTCTGGACTACCTTAAAAACGGCGGTCTCTGTGAAGTATCCTACGTTACTGCTTTTCTGGTATGACCTTGAATACAGGTCTTTATTTCATATTCTAACTGAATGGCCCCTCTGGTCTCAGATCAAAGCTTGACCTCCATTAATTCTTTATCCAAGAAAGCCTTGCTGGTTGCACCTGGGCTTCTTTTTAACTATCCAACCCTCAATCCTCTCTGATCTGACTATGCACCCAGGCCATTTTAACTCTTAAACCGCAATGCTCCTTAAGCTCACAATGCTGAGGTTGGTCTGACCTCAGACTCGGTACACAATTAACCACCACAATATCAATGTCCTTTTGGTCTGTCCTCAAGCCAGGGTCTCTTTTATTGTCATTCCACCTTCAATGTCATCCTGGCCCCTAATCAAAGGTCTTCTGCTATCCTTGCTGACTCATCTTTCTGATTCTTAACCAGGACTTGTTTACTCTTCCATATTCAAAGGTCTACTGGGTTAATTATCCAACACAGCCATTTAACTATTCCACAATCCCTCCTCTCCAGGCCTGTCCTCAAATCCAGACCTCTGTTAAATGTACCACCATCAATTCCCCTCTGGTTTGACCTTAACCAGATTCTCTGGTAAGTGCTGTCACCAGTGCCCTGGAAGTCTCACCGAACTTAAACAGCTCTTCCATCATCAGTGCCCCAAGAATCTGAACTCAAACCTCAGGCTCTGTTAACTATTCTACAATCATTCGTCTCTTGGCTAACCTCAAACCCAGGTATTTATTCAATTACCCTCATCCCTGTTTCTCTGGTCTGACCCTAAAACAAGGGCCTCTGTTAGCTAGTACATCATGAATGTGCCCTCTAGTCTGAGTTCAAACACTTGCTAACTATTCTAACATCAACACCTCTCTGTCTAGTCAAACAGAACAATTGTTAACTAATTAAAAATCCTGGCCCCTCTGACCTAACCTCAGATCTGGGTCTCTTTATTCCACCATCAGGGATTTTGTGGTCTATTATTGAGCCCTGTGTATTAACTCTTCTACATCAGTGCCTCTCTTATCTAGCTTTGAACCACAGTCCCTGTTAATTCTTCCAGTCTGTTCCCCTCTGGTGGTATTGCCTTCCTCTGGGGACTCTGACAAGGCTACCACTGTTAATGCCCCTCTGACCTAACCTTAAACAAGAGCTTTGGTTAGTAATGCCACCATCAATACTCTTCTGTTTTAGAGCACGAACCCAGGCATGTGTTAACTATTTCATTATCCATGCCATTTTCTCACCTTGAACCTGCACCATTGTTAAGTCCTTTGACATCCATGCCCCTTTGGTAAGACTTCAAACCTGGGCTTGTGGTAAATACCCCAGCATTAGTGGTCTTCTGGTCTGAATTCAGATACAGTGGATGAAAATTACTAAGGACTTCAAAGTGGTTGCTACTGATGAAATACAGACTGCAACCAGATGTCATGAGGTGAGGGAATGTGAACAAAACTGTGCACAGAAATAGATTCTAGTGACATCTTGGACTGGGATAATAACATTTCCACGATCCATACCTGACTGTGTGAGCCAAGGAGTCTCTGTAAGGCAGTCTGTTTGACCCACAGGTATCCAGACTCCAGTCTGTATGACCCCAGAAGTGTCTACACCCCAGTCTGTGTGACCACAGGAGGTCTATACCCCAGTATGTATGTACCCAGGAGTGTCCACATCCTGGTCTTTGTGACCTGAGGAGTGTTGGCACCCCAGGCTATGTGGCCCTAGAACTGCTCATAGGACAGCCTGTGTCACACCAGGACTGTCCATATCTAGTCTCTCTGACCCCAGAGTTTCCAAATTGCACTCTGTGTGACTCATGCAGGTCCATATCCCAGTCCGTGTTACCCCCAAGCATGCCTTTAGCCAGTCTGTGTGACTCTTAGAGCATCCAGACTCCTGTCTGTGTGCCCCTAGGAGTGTTCACACCCACTTCACACAGCAGAGAAGGAATGAATAGATATTCTTTCATTCCTACTGTGAATAATTAGATCAATGTAGATTCAACCAAGTTTTTAAAAAATCTGAAATTGAATTAAAAACAGGAGGTAGAACTTCCAAATCACTTGAAAAAGAATGAGAAATGATTTTGTAACAAAAAGCAGACCACTAAAGAAATACAAAGGAAACATAAAAGGTACTGAAAACATAAAACACAGATTTTAAATTCTGATAATAAATATTAATCGATTAAATTCCATATATTAAGTGACAAGGGCATGTAGATTGAGTAAAAATTCCAAAATCAACCAAATTATGTCTACATTGAAGTGATTCTGAAGGATTTTTTAAATAATGAATAAAAATTATAAGAAAAGTAAAAGCAGAGTGAAAAGCAGTTGCAATAGAAATCCAAGATAAAATAAAATTATGGAAAAAAAGCACTAAACAGTCAAAACGGACCCTTCTTACTGGTCAAGGGCATGATCAATTTTTTTGCATCTGGTGTGCTTTCCCACCCCTGAAACCAAGGAAGGAGACTCTGGTGGCCTTGGGTGTTCCCTCTTGGCAGCAACTCAGAGTGGCCACAGATACCGTGTTGAATGCTGCTATTAGATCATGATTTGTCTACCTTAGGTCCATCTTCAGGTGTTATTCAAAGACAAAAGTAGCTGATGGTCAAATTCCACCTGACAGCCTCATCTCAATAAAAAATATGTGCACTGCTCAATTACTGAACTACAAGAAACCTCAAGTTACTTAAAGAAAAAAAAACAGTGGCCATAAATCCCAGAGCATGAAGCAATAATGGTTAGAAATTACAGGGTGGTGGGGGAATGGGTGAAATAGGTGGAGGGGATAAAGAGGTACAAACTTCCAATTATAAAATAAATCAATCACAGGGATGAAAGTCCAACATAGGGAATATGGTCAATAATATTGTGATATCTTCGTATGGTGACAGATGGTAACTCCACTTACTGTGGTGAACATTTAGTAAGGTATATAATTGTTGAATCACTATGTTGTATGCCTGAAACCAATATAATGTTTCATATCAACTATACTTAAATAAAAAAATTAAAGTAAAAAATGAAGAAATTAGCACACAATTATAAAAAAGAAGCCACCAAACTCCTCCTACCATAGCTGAGGTTCAGGCCAGAGTCCCTGAGGCTGTCCCCTCCATCTGTGCAGGGTAATGTTCCGCATTTTATGACAGGCTTGATGCTCAGCTCCCAAAATAACACAATATTACTTATTTTTGCATCAGAGAGATTATACAAGTGCTAAGTACCATTACTTTCAACTCTTCATTATTGAGTTTTTCTTAAGCTAGAACAACCTGCTTGACATGATTCTTCACACTGCTCCCAGAAGATTGATTTCCCAGATCCAGAAAAATGAAGTCCATGTGCTGTTTTCTTGGGCTTTTTGTGTTTTTTTTTTTTTTACCCCTTCAGAACCAGATGGAAACATGTTCTGAATAAAAAGCAGCCCGTGTTTCCATGCTTTGACCCACTGGCTGGGTTGTGTTGGCAGAGTTTTATAGAACACAGCACCAAGGACATGCAAATGGTCGCTTCTGCACCTTTCACTTTGCGCCATGCCCCTCCAATTTTCTCAGGTGAGCTTTAGCGACTCTTTCAACTAGTCAGACATCTACATTCAGCTGATAAACAAAGTACCCATACCATTCATCTGCTTTCCCCAAACTGGTATAATTCCTGGTGGAGGCAATGTTAAGGCATTTGGGATCACTGGGACATTTTCTTGGGCCTTCACTGGACAGCCAGTGTTGCAAGTTGTCTGAAAGCAGAATTTGGAG